CAGACGGAACAGACACAGGCATAGCTGAAAAACTGTACTCTACTACTGATCACTGTTCCCCAAAATCACTGCCCCAAAACTGAGTCTGATACCCGCAGATATAACTAATTCCCCAAAACACTGATACTGATGCCCTCAGGCCTGGTACTCAAACTTGCAAACTGATATTCACATTTCCTGTAGAGATACACTCTAAAAGCACATAGCAAGTAAATGAGAACCAAAACACCCCTATGCTGGGGTAGGGTTTCCCTGTCCTATTTTGTCAAGAGCTAGGGTTTCACTACGTACGCAGTGGTTTCAAACAACCCATAGTCGGGTAAGCAACCTGTCCTAGTTTGGAATGGTCACTACGGATTCCGAATATGCACTAGGTCGAATGGTCAAAAGGGTGCCCCGGTAAAAACCGGCGTTTGTGTTCCCATACTAGCAGAGCCCGCAACCGGCTAGCCTTATGGTCATGCCTTGACAAGGCAAGCCTCTGGCAAACTGTTCAGGAATAGCAGATGGCCAACATGGTGTCCTAGGCGCACCAATGCACATGCAATGCAAAGAAACACATAAATGTAGTCAAAACAAGATATCATGAGTTCGAGTCAAGCTCTCTAAAATCCCCAGCAGAGTCGCTAGAAACTGTGGACGCGCCCTCGGGCTTTATGCCACCACAGTTCAGACTCCCTTTTGTGTTACGGTTCTTAATCTGAACCAAAGAGTCCAAATCCGGCAAATCGTTTTGGAAAATAGACTTTTAGAAATGAAGTGCCAAACATGGACTGCTTTGCCAGATACAGAGTCGCCACCTAAATATATTTTATGGAGGAATTTAGGAAACCCTGACTCATTTGCCTAAGGCCACGTGTCCGTCATCACCAAAATTGCCTCGGCTCGGGAACTTGGGTACGATTGGGGAAGGTCAGCTATGAGCACCCCCGCTTGCCCGATCAAAAATCGGCCTCTACTAACCATGATATCGATTTTTGAAAACATTATGTGCTCTTATTCCGGTTTAATTAGCTAGAATTACTATGTGATGCGCACATCAAAACAAGCATAGACTAGATCGCCTAATTTGGAACAAAGCATCGCATATCTGTTTGTTTGGAAAATGTTTTGAAATTTGCTACTCGCGAGTAGGCTAAAACACGGATTTTGATGAGTTGTTCCAACTCAAGCAATCCAACTTTCACCCACAGACATTCAAGCAGTTCATATCACATAAGCATCTAGCCACATGGTTAGCATGCTGTCATGTTAACATTCACACTCGTGCGAGATGCTAAAGTACAAAATACTTACAGTGTACTCCAAGCCAAAACAAAGAACTCATTAGCAATCAATGTATGATCCACGTCCATGTTAAGTGCCTAATGCAACGCATACAGAATGCAATTAGCATAGGCCCGGCTAATCCTAGGATGGCATGTGAAATGCAACCATTTGATGCACATATTCAAGTTAGATTTGAAGTACTATGTAGTTAGTATTATGCGTCGAGCCCGATGCATGAAATACTGATGAATGATGCACGCATGCATAGCATAAGGATGCTAAATTAAATATGCCCTAGTACTAACCATCAAAGCAGGTAAGTAAAAGGGAGAAAGAAGTGGGGGTTAGAAGACATGCACAAACGCACCCACACTTATTACAAATTTGCCCTCGCTCGGAGGGACCGAAAGAATAATACAGATTTAACTAACCTACAAGCTAATTAAATATTACAGACCAATTAAACTAGTTAAGCAAATTAACTAATCTAATAAAATAGTAAACAGCCTCGGCTCCGCTCAGAAATCCACTGCCATGCACAAGTTGCCTCTGTCCACACTGTTTTCCTTCTCTGATCATTACAAAATTCCCAAGGTGCACTCTATGAACCCTGTGGGATACCACCGGCCAAGAGAAATGGTCACCGGCCACTGGTTAAGCTATCGGCCACCAATTGTTGGTCGGTCGGCACTAAAGATGGCCGGCCGGCCAAATCTTCCTATAGAATCCTGTTTTGACAGCATCAGAGGGCAAAACAAGGCATGGCAATGCATTCCAAGCAAATGTGTGCACCAACACATCCCTTATCATGTTTATGACTCAAAGGGACATAGTTCTCGGTTCTCGGACCATGAATCGCTCATTTCGATGCGTGATGCCCAAGAAACCAAGTTATGCACTGTGATTTCAAATGAAATGCACATAAACAAACAAGGAGCTCAACCTCTATCATACTCAATTCAAGAGGCTAAGCATGCATGTCAATGCAATGCAACCTAGACGTATGAGCTAGTATGCAACATGAGCAATGCGAACAAGCATACAAGGCATGTGACGATCATGCTAACCAATAAGTATGCCAAATACAATGGCGATGTTCAAGCATGCAAGCAAGCATGTGACTTCATTCAATCATGCCACAACACATGGAGCAAACATGTTAGAAAACCTAAACATGTGACAACACACAAGTATGCAACAACACACAAGATGAGCATGCAATAACATGCGAACTATGGACTTAAACTAATTTGGACAGCTCTATACTAAGCCCAAAACAGTGGCCAATATGCTCAAGAATGAAGGCAAAATGACATGCAAACATGCATGCACACAAGGACCAACACTTAGGCATATAGAAACAACTCTCAAGCACACTTAAGAGGATGCAAACATGGACAAATGGCATGCATTATAAGCTCTGAAAGTCATGTTAGAGAAGGTGCCAAACCAATCTACAATGCAAGCTAGGCATGCCACCAAGCCCAAGGACTTAAACCATGGCCATATGACATATGAAGCAAATGACCAAAATGAACTAAAACAGTCCTAAATCATGCAAAAGTAAGCCCCAAAAACCACTTAGATGGCATCTAAATGATCTAATCCTAGAGGCATACACAATGGCACAAACATGGAGCAAGAAACACCAACCTTTTAAAGCATGGAAGGGGCATCAAATGCAAGCATACGAGCATATCATGAGGACTGAAATGACATGAAAAGTGGTTCCAGACCACTGAAATGATGCAAGGATGGCATGCTAAAGGGGTCAATCCCTAAGGCCTACAAGAGGGATTACATGGTAGCTATACGAAGCGAAGCATGGATGACCCAAATGACCAAAAACAGACCTCAAGCACACTAAAATAAGCATAAAAGCTTCACAAAGCTAGGCCGAAATCATGCTAGAACAAGGATTAAAACGTAAAGCATGTTAAGGCAAAAAATATGGCATTACAAGACATGTATGCAAGGCAAGCATGGTGTGTCTAAACCAAGTAAAAACAGAGGTAAAGCATGGCAAAATACTACCAAATACCTACTGAAACATGGCCAACATGAGTTCAAAAATGGTGCTCACACATGAGGCTTAAATGGCACATTTTGAAGACAACAAGGAGAGGGGGTGGCCCTCTCCTTCTTAGGACCTTAAACCACCATCTCCACCATTGAAATCCCTCAAGATTTCAGTGGTGAGGAGGCCCAAACAAGGTGGTCCCGGAGCTCACCAAAATAGCACAAAAATGGGGCCAAACAAGCCCTAAGAGGGGTCGAACAACCCCAAACAACAAAACACCCTTAAACAAATATTTTAAGCAAGTAAAAATAAGACTTTTATTAGTTATATGCAAAGTCTAAAAACAGTTGCAATATAGGCAAAAAAAGCTATGCAAAAATGGGGAATAAAAGGCAATAACACTCACCCTTGAAGAACACTTCCAAAATCACATGGTCAGACCTCTTCTTGGATCAAAACCAGCTCAAAAAGTCCAAGATCAACCCTCTAAAGCCTCAGCAATTAAGGGAAGGTGTAATGGTAGGTGTTCATGTGCAAAACTATGAACAAACACACACTTATACACAATGAGAGGAAAGTATAGAGATAGAATAGACACACTTCTAACCCTAAAAAGAACCAGATCTCTGGAGCTTCTTTCTAATCCTAGAAGAGGGAGGAGAGGCCTCCTCTTTATAGAAGCTCACTCTTGCAAAGCTTCTCAAGTAAGCTAGTCAAGAGGAAGATCCCTCCATACACGTGGATGGAGTGGAGCAAAGTGGGTGCCAGCTATCACAACTGGCACAAAATATCTGCCAAAAGCAGATGCACAGTGGTCGGCCGACCAAAAATGCAATTTGACCAAAATAGATGGCCGGTCGACTACAAAGAGTGCCAGTCAGCCAAACATTTGGCCGGTGGCAACAAACCAGTGGTCGGTGGCCTCAAGCCATGGCTGATGATGTGTGGGGATGGTCAACAAGTCATTTCCTGCCCCTCAAAGGCAAAGGACAAGTGTTTGGTGCAAAACCAGACACAAAACAGTCGAGCCGAGAGATCCTGAGGCAAGACACGTAGCCAAGAACTTCGGGAACTCAAGACAAAAACAAACAAGGATGATCACCGAGTGTTCAAGCGGTGACGTCCAAGTCTTGAGGACGGTCAAAAATGGGATGTCTACAGGGCTGTGTTGGGGTTGACGATTCTATGGCACCTGTGGAGGTTGATGGTCGCTAGGATCTGTGAGGGGAGGGGAGAGATGCAGAGAGAAGGTGAAAGAGATGGAAAGATGAGACTAAAATACTTCTCTCACTACAACAGAAAAGGTCTTTGGTGACGAAAACACATGACAAAAAAAAAAAATTGTCTCCAAATATACATGTTTTAGAGATAAAAGGAAGATTTTGTCTCCAATTGTAGCATTTTAGAGAGAAAAACCAAATTTCGTCACCAAATGCTTAAAATCAATAAAACAATAGGTGACGAAAATTTTATTTGTCTCTATATTTTATTTTTCGTCGCAAAAAAAATTCCCACCCTTGGAAGCCGGATATATGGCACCATTTTAGAGACGAAAATTTTCGTCACCATTGTACAAAATTTTCCGTGAGGAAATAATTTCGTCTCCTATAGTTTTATTATGCAAAACGATGTAGTTTCATGCTATAAGGGAGAAGCCCTCTTTGTTTGCCCAAATCCGTTCCTATTTTGCAAAACCCTCTTTGGGTTAGACATGAGTACTTGTTTACATGGATTTTTCTACCATCATTGCCACCACTCCAACACCACCACCATCTCTGCCACCACGGATCCATTACCACCGTCGCTACTGCTGCCACCACTCCACCGCCACCACTCCACTACCACCTTTCCTCCACTTCCATCGCCACAACCGTTACTACTCCACAACCATTATAGCCACTACTCCACTACCGTTGTCACTCCACCACTACTATCACTACTACCACCACCTATCTTCCACCATCGCCATCACCACTCTACCACTGCTGCCACTAACTCTCTTCCATCACCAATACCACCACTGCCACCGCTGTCACTTTACCACCACCACCATCACCTTTACACCACCACCATTACCACCACTGCCGCTACTCCACCACTGCTGCCCCCACCACTGCATCACCACTACTACCACCATCAACTCTCCACTACTACCACTACCATCACTGCCCTACCACTACCATTACCACCGCCGCCGCTACCATTTTTCTTCCACCACGTACCACTACCGTTGCTACCACTCCACTTCCACCGCCGCCGCTCCACTGCCACCACCACTAGCACTCCACCTCCACCAAACCCATTTAAGCCCCTTTATTAAATTGGTGAGTTTGAATCAATTTCATTTGGTTTCAATTTTCGAAAACTATTTTTCAAGTTTCAATCCTTATTTTTTTTCAATTACTAATTTTTTTTAGTCGGGGTATATTGATTATTGGCCACTAAAAAAAAATTTAGTCGCTAAAAATGCCACAATTGGAGACTAAGTCTCCAAAAAATGAGTTTTGGCAACTAAAATTATTTAGTCATCGAATGAAATATAAAAATTTACTTTTTATCTTTGGCGATCAAAAGTTTGGTCGTTAAAAATTTATTTTCAACTATTAAAAAAATTTATAGTCACCAAAAAATGAGTTTTGACCACAAAAACTATTTAGTCGCCGAATTAAAAATAAAATTTTTTTTATGGTCAACCCTCAAAGGCAAAGCACAAGTGTTTGGTGCAAAACCAGACACAAAACAGTCGAGCCGAGAGATCCTGAGGCAAGGCGCGTAGCCAAGAACTTCGGGAACTCAAGACAAACACAAACAAGGATGATCACCGAGTGTTCAAGAGGTGACGTCCAAGTCTTGAGGACGGTCAAAAATGGGGTGTCTACAGGGCTATGTTGGGGTTGACAATTCTATGGCACCTGTGGAGGTTGATGGTCGCTAGGATCTGTGAGGGGAGGGGAGAGATGCAGAGAGAAGGTGAAAGAGATGGAGAGAGGAGACTAAAATACTTCTCTCACTACAACAAAAAAGGTCTTTGGTGACGAAAACACATGACAAAAAAAAAATTTGTCTCCAAATATACATGTTTTAGAGATAAAAGGAAGATTTTGTCTCCAATTGTAGCATTTTTAGAGAGAAAAACCAAATTTCGTCACCAAATGCTTAAAATCAATAAAACAATAGGTGACGAAAATTTTATTCGTCTCTATATTTTATTTTTCGTCGCAAAAAAAATTCCCGCCCTTGGAAGCAGGATATATGGCACCATTTTAGAGACGAAAATTTTCGTCACCATTGTACAAAATTTTCCGTGAGGAAATAATTTCGTCTCCTATAGTTTTATTATGCAAAACGATGTAGTTTCATGCTATAAGGGAGAAGCCCTCTTTGTTTGCCCAAATCTGTTCCTATTTTGCAAAACCCTCTTTGGGTTAGACATGAGTACTTGTTTACATGGATTTTTCTACCATCATTGCCACCACTCCAACACCACCACCATCTCTGCCACCACGGATCCATTACCACCGTCGCTACTGCTGCCACCACTCCACCGCCACCACTCCACTACCACCTTTCCTCCACTTCCATCGCCATAACCGTTACTACTCCACAACCACTATAGCCACTACTCCACTACCGTTATCACTCCACCACTACTATCACTACCACCACCACCTATCTTCCACCACCGCCATCACCACTCTACCACTGCTGCCACTAACTCTCTTCCATCACCAATACCACCACTGCCACTGCTGTCACTTTACCACCACCACCATCACCTTTACACCACCACCATTACCACCACTGCCGCTACTCCACCACTGCTGCCCCCACCACTGCATCACCACTACTACCACCATCAACTCTCCACTACTACCACTACCATCACTGCCCTACCACTACCATTACCACCGCTGCCACTACCATTTTTCTTCCACCACGTACCACTACCGTTGCTACCACTCCACTTCCATCGCCGCCGCTCCACTACCACCACCACTAGCACTCCACCTCCACCAAACCCTTTTAAGCCCCTTTATTAAATTGGTGAGTTTGAATCAATTTCATTTGGTTTCAATTTTCGAAAACTAATTTTCAAGTTTCAATCCTTATTTTTTTAATTTTTAGTGAATTTTTTTAATATTTTAATTATTTTTTTAATTGATTAAAATATTGAAAAATTTCAATTACTAATTTTTTTTAGTCAGGGTATATTGATTATTGGCCACTAAAAAGAAATTTAGTCGCTAAAAATGCCACAATTGGAGACTAAGTCTCCAAAAAATGAGTTTTGGCAACTAAAATTATTTAGTCATCGAATGAAATATAAAAATTTACTTTTTATCTTTGGCGATCAAAAGTTTGGTCGTTAAAAATTTATTTTCAACTATTAAAAAAATTTATAGTCACCAAAAAATGAGTTTTGACCACAAAAACTATTTAGTCGCCGAATTAAAAATAAAATTTTTTTTATGGTCAAAAAATAATTTTCTGCTATTAAAAAAATTTTAATCGCCAAAATATTTAGGGGGATAAAAGCGTTCGACCCTTTCTTTCTCTCATTTTCTATCTCTATTTTCTCAACCCCTCTCTCTCTGTCTCTCTCTCTCTCTCTGTCTCTCTCTCTCTCTCTCTCTCTCCATTTATATTTTTTAGGGTTTCGTTCTACTTCTCAATGGAAAATCCAGAGGAATCGAGCCCCCTTACTCCAAGGCACTCAGCGTAGACGACGATGAGAAGAGAGCCACCAAGCCAATCGCAGCTCCTCCTCCTCCTCCTATGCCTGTTGCGGTGACGAAAAAGCATTCTCCACCGGTAGCATTCGGCAACCCCTATTGGACCGCCGACGGATTGCCGCTAGGGCACGACAATGTCATGGGCAAACCTCTACGTCGAGCTCAGTGGGACTCCAGCCTCTTCGCTTGTCTCGGTCGCAACGATGAGTTCTGCAGCAGTGATCTTGAAGTTTGTGAGTTAAAATTTTAAGTTTTGTGAGTTTGATGCTCAATGTTGATGGATTTTCCTATTTAATTTTCCCAATTTGATCGCTAATTGTTAATTATGGAGTCAGATGTAATTGGACCTGGTGATATCATTCTGTGTGTAGATTGATATGATTGTTGTGGGCTAAATGATTGCAGATTCAAATCTGAAATATTTATGATACATCAATTGATTATTATCACTATTAGTTGTAGCTGAATTTATGATGAAAGAAAAAATGCGTAGTGTGTGGAAGAGCATAAGATTTTCATGCTTTTTTGTATATGGCAATTGTCTTGACAGAAGTCATGCTAATTGAAGAGTCTAATTTTTCCATATATATATATGTATGTATCATATTTGATCATAATGATTATTTGCAACCATGGTTAGAGTGACCCAAGTCCCCAACTTAATCAGATTTTCTCTAATTTGATATGTTATTGAGTGAAAACTTCTTGCTTTTGATAGCAATGAATCTACCCTAGTCCCCAAACTTCTTGTTGTTGACTTTCCCCTGAATTGAGTTTGTTCATTAGTAGTATATCTATGTTTTCCTAATGGAGATTAGCTATTATGAAGTTATCCAAATATTCTAGTTTATTTGCCATATCTTGCTATCCTTGTATACTTTTCCAACTTAAATTTATCCATATTTTTTTGCTCGAGTCTCCTTTAGGTTTTTGGTTCCTTATTGTAATATATAGATGGGTTCTTTAAGGATCTGTCAGTTATGGGGATTTAGATGGGAGTCATTATGTAGTTTGTAATAGGCGTCCTTCACTCTTAAGTCCTATATATGCAGTTATAGCACTTTTTGTGGCTATCCTCCTAAAATAGTGAAGAAAATGCCTAAGAAGGATCTTGTGGAGGAGGTGATCATATATCCCATAGTATCCCTTTCCATTTTATATCTATTAAGTATGGTAGTACTGTCTACGAACGAGTCTTTGGGACTACTAAGGTTGACTAAGATGCATATGTAACTTTTGGGTGGCCATGTAAGTTTTATTTAATTCCTGTTTGTAGCATATATTGATTGCACTTCTCTTTATTTAATTCCTCTGATTCGTTGAATATTACCTTTTCAAAGCAGATATTCACTTACAACTTTGTGAGTCTACTTATTGAATTTCATTAATTGATGAATTCCGTGAAGAAAACTTTTAACATTATGGATTTGTTATTTACTATCCTTTCATGTATTTAAAAATAAATAAATTCTAAGAATTTTTTTTTTTCCTGAGCTTACTTCATACTTTTTTGATTTGTACTCTTAACTTTTAACATTTTACCTGTTTTAAGTCATTATTTTCTTGGTTTTCGTTATATATATATTGGGTCTCCCAAATGATAAAGTCTCTTTGTTCATTACAATTATTGTTTTACACAGTGCTTGAGTTTGATTGTATTTCTTTCCTGTTTTTCACTTGATTTTCTTGCATGTCAGGTTTGGAGACTTCAAGTAGCTCTTGGTGAGCAAACAAATATCACAAAACTTAGCCAGTAGGGGTATGAAAGACTTCAAAATGTAATATTATTAAGTTTATGGCTTTAGTATTTTTTTCCCATTCAATATAAATCTATTATAGGACTTTATACTAATTTTATACTAATCAAATTACATGCTTTACTGTTCCACATTATTTTTTATTACACCTTGTGCTTATTAGATGTTCGAATACAGTTTTTCAACAATTAAGTTCATAAGAAATTTATATATTTTGATGTGCATAGTATATGTACTCGTGTCAAACCGAGTTAGTCATTAAACAGTTGAACTTACATGAATCCCTTAAATTCTTTGTATTGATTTGATGTGTAAGATTTGTGATTGCATATCAATTTATTTAAATCGTGACACTCCAAAGTTTCCTTCTAATCTTAAGTAAACTTTTGTTATAAAGTTGAGGGAGAGATCAGTGTAGTCCTGCTTCCATATAGGCATCGCATCCTTTGCGGGTATGTTCATCTACCTCTAGCCTAAGACATTTTTTTGTATGTTCATCTACATTGTAAAGAAAATTGGAATCCATCAGAAGTTAGGTCATCGGAGACCAAAATCGTGTAATAGCCACGAGACGGCCCGGGTAACACCTCAAACACCTCGGGAGGGACCAAAATAAGTTGTGAAAACTTATAGAACTAACATGGGACTCTCGGTTCAAAAACTAAGTTCAAAAATGTACTTTTTCACACTTAAGCTTCAAAAATAGGCCATTGGAAGCCAAAATCATGCAACAGCCACGAGACGGCCCGGGTAACACCTCGAACACCTAGGAGGGACAAAAGCAAGTTGTGGAAACTTACGGAACTAACACGGGACTCTCGGTTTGAAAA